GAATTCCAAGTCTCGCGAACACCGTTTTGACTCTTTCGATGACTTGTGTGGCTGTTGTTGTCCTCATCTCGATGACTTCGATCCATTTGGAGCAATAATCCATCATTACCAGAAACTTTCGACCATTCATTTCGCAGAAATCAACTCCGATTTCCTTCCATGGTCCCTCTGGTGATTGAAATGGTAGTAAGGGTTGAACGTGGTTAAGCCGCTTCCTAGCGCATGTTTCACAGTTCGTGACTAAGGATTCGATATCCTGATCGATTCCCAACCACCGTACGCATTCCGCTTCTCTACGGCGCGTCTTGACGATTCCCTAGTGTCCCTCCGAAGTTTCTGGAGATGGAATTCGCGAAGTTCTTTCGGTATTCAGATACGTCTGTTTCTGAGGATCAAGTCTTGATGTAGAACTAGTTCGTTCTTGAACGCCTAGGGCACCGGCTGGATCACGCTGGACCACCGTGAATCTGGCTGGATTAGGACCGCGGCCGATCTTGAATAATGACATGACAGACCACGGTGGAGCTCACTGGATGCCGCTTCGGAAGGCGATAAGGATTCCGGAGTCCGCCTTTCGCTAAGTACGAGCCGGCATGATCATGCTTTAATCTTTGGATCAGGGGAATGCTAGTAAATGTGGGCGAAGAGATCGCAATGGACTGAAGTCCTGAAATTTCCGGATTTCCACGCCATTCGATGGGGGAATAAATAGAATCTGTTCGTCGCCTAGCTCTGATTGACGAAGCGAATTCCTACCTATGGTGTATCGTGTTTTCGCGGCGGCCGCATTGCACGTCTTGGGGTAGAGATTCGTATCCATTTCCAATTGATACTTTGTGTGTACTGTTCGCTGAGATAGGTCTACATTGTAATATTATTATGATGAAATGACGCATATATTATATTACGTAGTCCAGGCACCTTGGTCACGGTGCGGAATTTCCGGACTTATTGCACAAGTATCGACTTTCCAGAGAGACCTCTGCCTCGAGATTCTCAGTAAAGATAATGATCTTCGAGCTCGATGATCGACTTTTCTCCGGCATTTGAAGCTTGTCCTGCGTTTTCTAAACCAGCGTCGATCAGAATAGTTCGAGAGGGATTGTATTGCTGGACTCCCAGATCCTTCTTTAAAGATCGATTTCCGCTGCGCGCTGATATGGGAATGATCGAGAATCAGGATGATGATGCTGAATCACATTGGCCGGAATGTCATCATGACTTGGGATCACGAACTGAAGATGGGAACATCGTAGATCGTGTATCTGTATTACCTCGCTTCGAGTGCAGGTCTCGGCTGCCGGCGCAGAGATGCTTTCCGCTGCTTGAGGACGGCCCTTCTGACAGTATTCTCCTTGCCAATTGAAGTTGCACTGCGGAAGGGAAGGCCGCTTAATGCGTGATACGGATACCATGTGCTCGAGATTCGAATCAAAGCAGCACCAATGTATCATGCACATGTGGTGTGCCAATAAATGTTGTCGATAGATTCCATTACATTTTGCTCTTCTCCGATGCTCCAGGCGTCTTGTCTCCGTCGGTATCGTCTGGGATGCACCTATTTTTGATCGCCTTATCCAAGACTCTTGGAGAGAATGTGCTTGGGAAGCATTTTTCTCTCGGAACGCTGGTCATCGAGGCGCTCCTGGTAGGAAGGTCGGCTGGGTCGAACTTTACTGAATTCCCTCTCGACGGAAACACACGTGGGTCCGGTCCCAAGGACTTCCGCTATGTATCTTGGACCGAGAGCGGATACTTCCGTATCATCATTATCCTCGATGCTTTCGAGTCGCTGCTTCAGAGCTCTGGCTCGGTGAGGAGCTGAGAACCCTGAGCCAGCTGCCATAAGTGACCGTCGGCATTTGCGGACGAATTCCTGCAAAAAGGCTTCAAACGTGTCTCGTTCCTCTACTCGCTTTTCCGCTGGCGTGCCGCGCAACTCGAGCTCCGGATCATTGAAGAATCTCGACAATCCTCCGTCGACGCTCCTCATAGCCAGATGTCCGACTTCTCCGGCCAAGCGGCCATCTAGGGGAGATTCCTCCTTGCCCACATTGATGAAGGAGGCGCATCGGGAGGCAATCGTTCTCCGCTTTGCGACATGCTTAATGAGGTTACACTTCAGCTCCTTGATGAAGGTGTTTCCGATTTCCATTCCAACGAAATCAATGAAGAATGGTCGGTATCCTCTCGCAGAGCCGCTCGCAGGGCACAATATAATACAATTATTATCATTTCATTTCATAACTCCTTTATTTGTCACGACAAATTCAGGGGGGGGAGGAACTTAGTCGACATAATAATAGAGCGTGGAGAGCTGGGGACTCGCGTACTCTTCCAGCGACTCGCCATGCAAACGAATGGTCAACCACGAAGCTCGCCTCTATCGCCTGGGAATGAGAACTCGAAACAGACCTCAAGAGCAAGTTCCGAGAGGAAGAGAGTCGCGTCATCAGCTGAGACCTTCCAGCTCACTTCCTACACGAAGCCGAGAGCACGCATGATGGGGTTCAGAGCCGCCATCTCGCCTCTGGAGAACGGGAAGCGCTGATTGTTCTGGTCGAAGAACTTCTTGATGGCCGGTGACAATGTTGCGAAGCTCTCAATCATCGTGAAGGTGCTCTTCCAACGGTTCGGCACGTCGCCTTGTACATTCAAAACTTTGAGCTCTGGGTCGCGGCGGCGAATCAACTCCAATTCGTCGGCCTTCTTCCCGCTTTGAGTGAAGACGCGGCTTATGAGCTCCTCGAGGTTGAAGTTCGCGACTTCGTACTCTCGTTGGACCTCATAAACCGAAAGCGCCTCGCTTCCTCCGTGATCCTTGTCCCCGCTCTAGAGTCTAGAGTCTAGACCATGCAGCTCTCATGTTCTCCCACTGAGGGAGCCTCGAGGCTGACGGAGACGCTACATGTATTCCCCCCCAAGTATTCGATCACGGCTAAGTGCAGGCCGTGAGCGTTGCACTTCTGTTGATAGAAAACCTTCCGACCGCGCTCCTCCTCGATACTCTCCGCGAAGCTGATCATTGCAGAAGCAGCGTCGGTTGTTACTCCGTGCACGTCGTCGAAGCTCAGGTTGAATTAGTCCAAAGTCCTTCGAACCGCCTCGCTCAATTTCGAGGCATTTGGCCCATCGTAGAACCTCACAACGAGCTCCATTTCTCTGGCACCCACGGACGGGATCACCAGAGACGAGCTTAGGACCACCCCCAGGAGTATTTTCTGTTTCCATGTCCATTCATCGGCACAGAGAGTGAATATGCCGCCTTGACGTCTCACTGCACCGAGGGCAGCTGTCACTTCAGCCCGAAATCTGGGGAACGCCTCGTCCGTTGTACGACGCGCGATATCTTCGTTGACCGTCTCGTGTTCTCCGGAAAGGAAGAAGAGACGGTAAGTTCGGTCATTGAAGTGGCTGTATGGAACATTTTTCCGCGAAACTTATTCTGAAATAATGCTTGTACGGATTCGCATTCGAGCTTTGCCGATCTTCGGAGACCGTCTGCGGCTATCCTTCTTCGCACCGTGCTTTCGTAGATGATTCCGCATCCCATTGAGGTTGCGTTTGTCGAAGGATACGTCAACTCCGATTTGGGGGCATTTCTGCAGATTGCCGAATGGTTCGAAGAGAGCCGTGATTTCCCCCCCTAGAGAAACAGGAGGGTGTAAGGAAACGCTCTACCGTGCCCCTGATATACGACCCCTAAGATAGGCCGTCGGGTTGAAGTTCGACTCGCATTCAAGGAGCCGAGAGGACCAGGAGTCGAAAATAGATGAAAACGGAGTACATTTGTTTGTAGATTAGCCGCGGCAGCATTCATCTGAAGCACTTCATCGAGACTCGATAGCAACTTCGTTGTACACCTTCTCCCTCAAGACTCAAGACAAGCACTCAATTCAAACGTCAACTTGAAACTTCAAATTCAAACTCGAACTCGGAGACGAGAACGAAAAAACTCTGAGCGTATTCAGTACGTAAGTACGAATGCGAACGCTAATAAATTCACTGAATTTCCTTTACGCTAACATCACCCATTCTTTAACTATCAACCCATTCTTATCACTTATCAGTTATCAGTCATATATTGGAACTACGTATTCGCTCATCTTTGCGCTGAACGCTGTAACAGGCTGCATCTCTCATCCCGAATCCCGACCTGTTAGGACTCCGACTCCAGTACTCTGATCCTTGATCCTCCAATCCTCGCTGCTATGGGCGATGCCTGGAATTTCGGAAAGCGCCTTTGAACATATTCCGTACACCCTCGTATTTCGTGTCCGACCGTGATCCCAAGAGATCCCCCGTGGTTCGCCTAAATCCAGCGTGATCCAGCGACATCCACGTCAGGTGGGTCAACGGCGGAAAATTGCAGGGAGTCCTCTCTCCAAATGAGACCGTCACCCAGCACCCATCACGGTATTCGACCGCGGTGCGAAAGCCCGGGTTCTGGAGGTCATATTCTGCGTCTGTGACTATGTTGCTCTCCGGGGACTCGCCTCGGAACAAAACGGAAGAAGCGCCCGCTCCCGCTTGAAGCATTGACAGACATCATTTTCATGGGTTCCCTTGTTGCTTGTTGAGTGCCAGTTCCCATCTTCGTTTACGCTCACGCCCTTCCTTGCATGAGTTTTTCATAGACGTAGTCAGCATCCGTACAGCTTTGCAAGTTCGCCATAGACCCAGCATACATAGAATCATTAAAATAGAAGACCGTACAACCGTACAGAAAGGACATCGTAGAACCGTCCGAAAACGTTACCGTACAACCGTACAGAAAAAAGAGCGTAAAATCGTACGAAGGCGCCCCCCCGTACAGCCGCACAACCGTGTTAGTCAATTTTCATGTCCAGTCAACGTCTAATGTCTAATGAATGAGACCGATAGACCGATCCTTGGAGTGTTGTCCGTCGGCAGCTTCGAAACTTGGCGCCCAGTCGAACTCGGATGCGTTCATCGTCGTAAACATTGATGTGGAACGACGATTCAAGAGCAGTGGTAGTGGTGGAAGGAAGGAGGAGAGTGTCGACTCTGATCGCTTCGTTAATCTGTAGCTCTGTCATTGAAATTTGCCCATACCAGTAGTGGAGTGACGCACCTCAGATGCACGAAGAAAATACAACTCTAAGAAGGATGAAACTCTTCGATTCGTATATCCTGCACACAACTCTCGAAGCTTATGTGCTCCAGGCTGGCAACGAAAACGAGAGCCTCCTCATTGACAGGTGAATGTTTTTCACGAATCTACGAGCTCGGTGATCCTCATCATTATTGATTGTTATTATTATTTATATTTATTATTATCGAATACCATAGTCGTTTACGGTCTAGGCATATGCATACTTTGGAACGGGTACTTATCGGCGAAACTCGAAGGGAATCCGCTGTAGCTCTCTGGAGATGGTGACCCTGTCGCCACCGAGTTTCCTCATCCCGGCGGAAGATGTCCGTGAGGAAAGGTGCCGAGATCGACTTTCCTGCCAAAGCATGTATCCGACAAGCCGAGGCTAATGTAGTATGCTCAGAGGAATATGAGGGTAGCGGCTGTTGGATGGTTCCGGCGGCTGGTCTGGGACATCCGAGGACCTTGGTCCGGAGCGGGCGAGCCGGCTTGCATTCGTCTCAATCTCATGGGAATCGTGAGTCAGGGATGGTTTTGGTCTCAATCCGAAGGGAGATAAGTTATTCGTTGCGATGCTCCCATAGTTTTTGAGGGAGGGCTTCCATCTCCGGACTGAATGAGAATATCATTACTTGTCTCCAAAATTCTATCTCCGCGAATTTCAAGTACCCGATTGTCGTGAATCATGTCGCTGCAAGATCATATCGCAATCATCTCACCCATCAAATCCGACGATCGAGAAACCAATAGAAGTCTGAGAAGGTGCTGCCTAGCTCACTCATTCGACAACTCTCGGCTCAACATTCTTGAAGCAAGCGAGCCGGCGGTATTATCCCGTTCTCCGGTCTCCCGTCGGATCGATATCCAAATGAATGAATAGATCGGTCACATTCCACTCATTCATAGACAATACAAGAGATGAAAATCCTATGTAGGCTCGAACATAAGGATAAGAATGAGCTCGGACCTTCACTCCATGTCCAACGGGCGCTGGAATCTCCCTGTCAGATATGCATTAGTCAAACTCTATCTCGCATTCCAGGATTACCGGCGAGGTCAAGCCGATTCCTGACCCGCAGAAAGTTCTGCAAAACGTAAAACAGTCCAAGCATGTTTTCGGCGCCGTTGGTACTATACAGCTGCTCGATTCGGCGCATCTGCTGGTCATAACGAGTCGTACTAGAATAGGTTCTAAACCCGTCTACCGCATCGATGGCTGGGAAATGGTAAGAGGTCGTGGCGGAAGGTAAAAAGTAAATCCGGTGTGACGAAGGTCTGTCTGATTTCGTTCATTCACTCGTCTCTCTTCCAAAAACTCTTCCATAGTTTCCCCTGGCCCGGAGCGATGCCCACCTCACAGAAGAGCAGAAGATTAATAACTCCACGTACAAGCAGATTGTCATGCAGGTAAATGAAACGTCGTGTGATCCATACGCCGTGGCCCATGGGGGTGCAGTAAGATCATATGGTACCCGGGGTCTCGAGTGACTGTTCCCACGTTCGCAGGTGCTCAACACTCCATATTTCTACTACTCAACTCAATTAGACATCACACACTCGTTGCAAAGGCTGAATCGAACGAGCTCGTCGTTCCCTCAAATGGCTTTCTTCTCCCGCGCCGACTCGAGGTACCAGGACTTCGGCCTGAATTGTGAAATCTAGAATATTGTTTCTCTCTTTGAGGAAGACTAATTAGGTATGATGAAGGGGAGTCCCGGTATGACACCCTCGAAGGCCGTGACTCAACCTTATTCACCTTTCTCGAAGATTCGTGTGGAATCAAAGCCTCGTTGATAACTCCTGGTCATCTGATAATCGCGCTCTACAGTTTCTTATACCAGTGATGCACGGTTTTTATGCTTCAGAAAAGGTAAGCCGAAGATGGAGCGCTCGTAGATCTGGCAAGAGCCTGTCGAAACCTGAAGGGAGGACGATAGTTCGGACTTCGATAAGCAGTCGACGGGAATCGTTTGTTCGCAGGTGCGCCTGGCCAATGGGAAGAGCTTCGAGTGGACTATCATATCTCGTCGTAGTGTCCAGAGAGCAGGAACCCGCTTCAACATGAGAGGTGTGTGAACGGGAACGATTACGTCAGGCTTTCAGAGGACCTGCCTGTGAGATTAGCGGGGATATCAATATGACGGCCTTGTTCCACAGGTGCTGATTCGGAAGGAAATGTTGCCAACTTCGTAGAGACTGAAATGATTGTCGAAACGGCCAAGGAGAAAAGCTCGTTCGTACAAACTAGGGGCTCGATCCCCCTGTTATGGGAGCAAGTACCTGATCTCAGGTGAATTTTCGAGCGCGAAAGAATGATGAGAATGGCCACGAGGGTCGATCGTCGGGTTCGAAAGAAACTCCATGCGAGACGTTCCTTCTTTCCGCAGATACAAACCGCCTCCAACTCTTGTCTCCGGCAAACAGGAAGAAGTTGTAAAGAAACATTTCGAGCAGCAGATAGTTACCTATGGCAAGCAGGTGAGCTTTCTCGCATTCCGTGAGCCTGAGATCGACTGAGGGAACAGGAGAATTCGGATCAGAAATCACACGTCCGATTGAATCCGCAGGTCATGATCAATCTGATTGATCAGAAAGGACCCGAGCACGCTTTAGGAATGGAATTGGCGCGATGCCTGCAAGCGATTTCCAATCCCCAAGTTCGCTATGAGCCCTTTGACTTCCATAAAGAGTGCAAAGGGATGCGATACGACCGTTTGCAAGTGCTTATCGATAGAGTGGCGAGCGCTCAAGACGCCTACGGTTTCTATTTCGAGAAAGGTCAGTGGCACCTCTAGGTACTTTTGCGTCGCTGAATTCCGCTCGACGAATGACAGGAATCGAATTATCGGCTCACTCGTGCGACAATTGTTGAAGGGGAACAAACATTTTCCAGATTCCGCAGTGAAATGCTATCAGCTAGGAGTCTTCCGTACCAACTGCATCGACTGTCTCGATCGTACGAACGTTGTGCAGTCCTTATTGGCGAAGCGCAGCTTGCGAACTCAACTCCTAGCGCATGATGTGATCTCGAGCGTCTCCGAGCTCGACAACGACCCGGGCCTCGAAGCTGTCTTCCGGAACGTCTGGGCCGACAATGGAGACGCTTGCTCGCTGCAGTACGCGGGCACCGGGGCTCTGAAGTCCGACTACACCAGAACGGGCAAGCGCTCAATAGTGGGAGCGCTGTGGGATGGATGGAACTCATCAATTCGCTATTACAAGAATAATTTCAGCGACGGTCAACGTCAGGATGGTATCGATCTCCTCCTCGGCAATTGTCGCATGGGGTTGAAGGATCCGTGCGCCAATCAACTCCCACCCGATGTGTTCTTAGCCCCCTTAGTACTACTCGTGTTATTGGTACTGCTGCTCCTGCTCCTACTGATGGGAGAGAAAGACCGCTCGCTGTTCTTCGTTCTCTTGCTCTGGATCCCGTCGGTGTCGTTCATCGCACTGAAAATCCGTAGCAATCGTATGCAGTATATCGATAGGCCGCGTTTGAAAAGACATGGTTCCTTTCGTCCATAACGGAATCGATGACGAGGACGAGCTCTTGATGGTTCGGGTGGTTTAGCCGTCTCGTCCGCCGCAAGAATCACGACAGCTACGGGGTAGCCAATGAGTGAGGACTAGAACGGATATAGCCGCCTCGGAGTGTACAGTCAGCGTATGTTGCCCCTTTTCTTAAAAAAAGTTAAAGTTTGCTACTTCGGCTACCTGAAGAGATTATTGTGCAATGTAGAGAGGAGAAGGACACCGTGACGGAATAAATGTAACTCTCAGAAAGAAACGTCCCGTTTCTTCACTCTCGATGCGAGGCGACTGAATAATTTATAATTATGAATGAGTGGATGATTCTTCTTCCTCCTCAGCTTGGTATCCTTTCAAGAGCGATCGTAGAGAAGGGTTCAAACTCTCGGCCATCTTGAAATAACAGTATTTCAAGTCGAAACGCATGTCAAACCAATAGTTGACCGCAATGCATTGGTGAGATTGTTCCACTTGATGGAACCACAGCGACGGGAGGTAGAGAACGTCACCTGGAGTCGAGGGGAAGAAGTCAAGTATGGTCTGATGACGAAATTTCTCATGCTCCTCTATTGCTATGGAGACATAATCCCTGGATTAGGAAGTATATGTACATAAACCTACCCTGTTTCACGATGACTTTGATGCTTTTAACAGTCGACCACTCGAGGGGACTCCCCGATGCCCAAATGGTCTCGCCTTCCATAGGCTCCAGCGTCCAAGTACCATCCTCGTTCCTGTTGTGTGCGAAATTCTTGCACGATCTGTGCGGTATCCTCATGCAGGAATAGGGAGCACACAGTGTGAATGTCTTGTAACCGCTGTAAGCAAAGCTCTCCTTGGTTCCGATAATTTCTTCTCCGCTCCGCTTGAGGCCTTATTGGTCGATCGAGTCACTCCGGCGAGACCCTACCGTATAACGCAATAGAGATTCTCGTAATGATCCTTGTGCGTGGAGGTTATGGCTCTTGCGTCGCCCATCCAGAAGTTGCAGGCGTCGGGAGGAGTCCCGAAAATTTGCTGTCCCCACTTCTGAAGCTTTGGGGAGATGTCATCCTCCAATTCACTGAACTCACTTTCCAAGTTCGAGTTCTGTTTCTGGATATAGAGCACCTCGTCCTTGCTCGGCTGTAATCAGGGGAATCAGTCCTGCTCAAACACAGGTCAATCTTGGATTTTGTTTCGATCATCTCCATCATCATCGGGCAGTTTATAGTCGGCGGCTTTCGAAAAGAATCCCGCAAAACTTGCCTTTTCGATTTTATCGATGAACTCGCCCATTTTCATCATGCTCTCGTGTGGGAGACAGAATTTGTCTTCTCGGATAGCGTCGGCCCAACCATCAGGTGTGGCCGCCACGCTCACATCGATGTCTAAGGTTCGTAGGTAGGCATTCGTCCATTTTTTCAAGGCCGGCCAATCAGCACATCCACCCTCAACGAAGGAAAGGTAGGATAATTACAAAAGACAGAGATATTCGCGGATACCCCGGGAGGTAAATTGTTGGGTCCCACCTACTTCGATAATACAGGGACGATTCGGCGCAACGTAGTCCCGGTAGAAATCCAGCGCATCGATGAAACCCTGGATGCGGGGAACTTCATCATCAGCACAGAAATCTTCAAAGGTTCTGTCAAGGTACCCCAAATTCATGCCAAGAGCTGCCTCTGCGGTTGACGACATAGCGCTAGAGGACACTCATCGGGATTGCTTCGAAAAGTCCGCGACTCTCTGGCGAAAACATCTCGCGCATGAATCGAACATAGATTCCGTCCAAGGGGGAACGGGGGAACGGGAGAAAGTCGTCGTTCCAGGGGAAGAAAGTATGTTGGAAGAGACGGTCCGAAGAACGTATGTGATCCTACGAGGATGCCGTTCCAGAGGAACGCAGGCAATTCTATGGGGACCTTCGTTCCAGAAGAACGGAGGCAGTGAAAGGCGATGGATGCTGATGATCTTTGTTTGTCAAGGAATGTTGAGCGGGCGGCTCGATAAGTTGTTTCAGGCGTTCCAAAGTTATCCTCCCAAGAAGGTGCTTCAGCTCCCGAGGACAATGCTGAGTGTACGGAGTAGGCTCTCAAGAGTACTCGGAGCCTGCGGGAAGGACCCTCAGAATCCGATTGCTGCTTCTGGATCTCCTGCCGATGGTCGAACCCCAATTAAACCGATGAATTAATGCGAAATCAATGGACTGCTCTTGGTCTTGTCTGATAGTAGAGTAAGACGAAGCAAAACGGATCCTGCGAATTTCCCTGCTTTGCTTGCCCTGCTATCCCCGTTCGATTGACTGACCAAATCCCAGCGCCCCGAGAATTTCGGTGGAGGTAATTCCTCGTCACCGAAGGAATCAGCGGAGGATGGTAATGTCCACTCTCACCGTCTCCGGGAATGGGCCCTTGAGTAGCCTTCCTCATTCATCTCCACTTCCGATTCATACGTAAGCTTCCAACATCTGCGTGATTCCCCATCAGGAAATCCAGGACTCGTCGATGAGGGCCTCGAGCGATCATGACTATTGCGAGCTCCTTCCTGCAGGTGATGTTTTTATCTTTGTTTCCCTTAGGTTCGGCGAGCCGAGCCACTAATCACAGAGAGTACGTCAGAGGATGAAATGCGACACAGGAGACGGTCGAACGAGTGTCGTGCTCGAGGGGGGGGGGGCAAGGGGGCCCGGGCAACCGGAGTTTCATACCACCTCGGGTCGACTTTTGGAGCGGAATTCCTTGATTTGCTCCTCATTTATTAATTTCTTCATCGGAAAAAACTATTGCCCCCCCGCCAACTCCCCCCGCCCGATAGAAAATACTGGGCACGCCCCTGGGTCGAACACCATACTACCTAACTATGTACTAGGTGTATACCCGTGAAAAATGCCGCTTCCACAGCGGGCGCCAGCTCGGCTGTCCCCTAATAGGCCTATAAAGAACCGGGGATTAGGCGCGAATATTCGAAAGTTGGTGGAGCTTGATGGCTCCACCCAATTTCGAAAAGTCCTGACATTTCCCAAGTATTCCATAGGCACATTTTCCAACGTCTGAGGCGTCGTGACTCAACACGAGATGTGCCCTCATATCAAATGTTTGTCTCCAACTTCTCAGAGATCGAAGTCGAGACGTCGCCAGCTTTCGTCGATGGAAACGCGCCACCTTCTCCGATCGAACTTCAAAAGCAAGGCGATGGTAATGATTTTTAATTGAACAATTTCCTAATAATCTCTCGTATGGCGAATCCCTCTTCATGGCATTCTGGGCTCTCCGGGATTTTTTTCGCTTCTCCCTGAGAAGAACAGTCGGTCCAAATCTCATGATAGGATCAGATAGTTTATTGGGGTCTCTTTAGGCCTAAAGAATATAGAGCCGTGGAGAATAGACGGCTCGGCGATAAAATCCCTGATCATTTTCAATCGGAAGATTTCGAGTCATTTCACATTGTTACTGGTAGCTTTCTGGAAATTCAAGCTCTCACGACTCATGATACCACATGCGGTGCTACGATTCACGGAACGACTTCGAGTCATATAATGCCAAGCTTCTCCGTCATGAATATCAAGATTTTATTATGCAAATACCGAGCTTCTGACTGAGAGTGCAAGACCTCTGCCGTGGTTCCGTATACGACGAACAGCAGTGCGCAGTTGCGTACTGCGTACAGCGGGTCTTTTTGCGTGCTGCGCCCGGGGTCGCACACTAAGGGCGAATTACCACTCATTGCTCAAGATGAAACGTATTCTCATCTCTCATATCCGATATCCAATCCTCAGAATATCAAGTCCCCCATTTCGCAGAGATTGGAATCGAAACGTCGCCTGCTACTTCCAGTGAAGACGCGCCGCTCCCTCCGGTCGCCTTTCGACACCCCGGCGATGGTAATATTCTTCATGCAGTGCACTATGTGGTCGAGAACCCTCTCAGTGGACGGGCTTCTGCGATACAGCAAGCTACAGCAACGGTGCAAAATCTTCCTTCGTGCTCTAGTCTAGAGGGAACGCAACCGCCGCGCGAAGCGGACTGTGACTGGACACGTCGTGGTCGTGACTCGTGACACGATGATCGCCGCTTCAACTTTCTGGGGATCGAAACCACCTTCGAGCAAATCACTTACCTCAACTCGATGAATATAAGGGCAAATTACACTACAGAGATACCTATGGATAACTGGAATGAACTAGAATTAACGCTTCGGTTATCAATTTCACAGATCACGACATCGAACTCCCTCCAGACTGCGACGGTGAGCCTCTCATGGATAGAACCCTCAAGAGTAAGTCTCCTCCTCCGGGATAATTCAATGCTCGCCACTAGAGGCGATATTTGCGACTCGCGGGCACGAGTGCAACATGTCGAAGTGAATCTAAGGATTCTCGCTCAATCCGTGCACTCGTTGAGGAGATGTAGACCGAATTTCTTCATCGCTTTCGTGTGTTACGACGATGATATCAGCATCGCTGAAGCTTTGGCATCCGAAACAGATCTGGAGTCTGGAGCCGATACACTGAGAGCTGGGGCACTATCGTGATTGGCGGGGAGTCGGGAGGCTAGCGCTTCTGTCACTTCTCGCGCAATCCTTCCCTTCACTCCGCGAAGCCATCTTGTGAAAGGCCGCTCCCACTTCGTGAAGTGACGCCGATTGCGCGGGTTCAATCCCTGCTGCCGGCGAAATTTCGTCACGGAACCTCTTCACGGAGCAGCATGTCCCCGGCGGCGTCGATCTCCCGCGCACAATAACTCCTCCGGAGATCCGTCCCTCGGAGCAATGCCAATAGCGATACCTGAGATGTTAATCCATATCTCCGGGGTCCAGCTCCGGTATGTTCTAAGGTAGTAGCGTGCTCGAGAGGGTAATGGTTTGAGCTCGAGACTTGGTCCCCGGAGATCCAACCACCGGCCCATCGGGAACCCGCAGTCTGCTACCATAGCACTCTGGCTCACGCTCACCTTTCAACATCCTTCTCCGACTCCCTCCAGGAGAAAGAATAAAGAGTCATTTCGAAGAACCCGTGGATGGCAAAGCAAAATGCAAGACGTGCCAAAATAAGTTCCTTTCGTGTAAAAACGGAAGCATCACTGCCAGGGCCAAACATCTTCTGTCCGCTGGGCATTTGGCGGCCACTCTTGGAGGGAGGGACCTCGGAGCTGCGGGAGGGTGGGACGAGAAAGAGGAGCAGCACTCTGGGGCCCGCCGATTGCTCGTGCACTATCGTCAAACGTACCCCCGAATTGAAGGAGTGGCTCGTCGCCACTTTCAACACCGTCAACCACATTCCAACC